CATAATATGCAAAAGTAATTGCATAGTTAATGTAAGTTATTCCGTTGCTTAAGACTTTGCTTTGAGAAAATTTAAAGTTGAATTTAGGCTGGAGTAATGATCAGACTAATTGTATATGTAACCTAATTTCTCATGAAGCCTACAACAAAAGTAAAGCAATTTTTATATAATAATTATGCCTGGTGTATTATCCCCTGGTTGATGCTGGTGTGCCATTAAACATTAATTACATCATTTCATTTCATATCTTCAATCAAGGTTATGCAACGCAGAACACGGCATATGTGACTGTAGATGGTCTCGCTTATTATATAATTTTGTCCTTTTCCGTTTTTTTTTTAGATGGGCCCTCCTTTAAAACGGATATTACGAATGTAATTAATGCGTAGGAAATCTTGTTTTTTGAACTTATATTTTGTAAATAATTCTGTTTCTCGAAATAACTACATAAAAATAGTTTGGTTCATTCCTTGACATCTCGCGTAATTTTCATCTTGAAATAATATAGTGTAGATAACAATAATCAATCATTCAAGGGGTTATATTTTCGAAGATTCACTTTTTTGTCTTTTCTAGCGTAATATCTGAAACAATTCTGAACTTTTGTCCAATAACAATACTATGGATATCTATGATCCAGCAGTGAACTGTGGGGAATATTAAAATACCGGTATTTATTTTGCAAAACAAAGGAGGTTTAGAAACAGCTCAGAAATATATGGAAAACTTTAACTGTGATGCAGTCGTGACGGGTTTCACCGGTGCCCGTTATCCTTTAAGGAACGTCACATTCCCATGAGCATGATACATATTCAGACGAAATGGTCATTTATGATACCATGTTGACGTGTGGAACCCTTACAGAGTGACCAGTGCAAGATCGTATATCTACACAATATTACCAGTGGCGGCACCAAGGGGGGGGGGACAGCATCCCCCCCCCCCACGCATAAATCTGGTCTGCCCTCTGTTTGCCCCCCCCCCCCCAATAATTATTTGTGATACTTTTCGGTAATCAATACCTTCTACGGTGATTAAATCCCACATCCCGACTCAGACATTGACTTGCATGTTGTAGAGTCTGAGTGATATCTTACCAAGCCCATCCTGCTGTAAACCTACTATGAAGTGCTTATTACGATTTTCAAAGTTTTTGGGTATAGGTCAATGCTGCGAGAATATGCATTCCCTCGATACACTCACTCCGTTCGTTTGACACCACCCTCTCTTTTTGGATAAGCTGGTGATTTGGCGAACAAAAGTATCTGGTCAGCTCTATTTATCTCGAAGACCAGTGTCCGAAATGTTGCATTTCCGGCAGTCTATGTCACAAAATATCGTGGCAAAAATATTCATTAACTTTGAGTCACTCACTCCGTCGGTTTGACACTTTCCTGTCTGGTCGGATAAACTAGTGATTTGGTGACAGGCGGTACTGGTAAGCTCTATTTATCTCGACGATCAATGCCTGAAACACTGCCAGACTGCATTTCCGACAGTCAGTTTTTCCAAATTTTGGGGGGCTTCGTTGAGGTTCATTCATTTGACACTTTCCTCTCTGGGGTCGAATAGACTAGTGATCAGGCGACAGACTGCATCTGATCAGCTCTATTTATCTCTACAATCGGTGCCTGAATACTGTCAGACAGCATTTCCAACAGTCTATTTTTAAAATTTTCTTGGGGAGGTCCCCGGTCTCACTACTTTGGCACTCACAAAGGGACTTCGTTGAGGTTCGCAAGTCCGTTCGTTTGACGTTTTATTCTCTGGTCGGATAAACCAGTGATCAGGCGACGGACGGTATCTGGTCAGATCTATTTATCACAACAATCGGTGCCTGACTGAATACTGTCAGACAGGTTTCCCCGCAGTCTATTTTTCAAAATTTTCTGTGGAAGGTCTCCCATTTGGCGCTCGTTATTGGGCTTTGTCGTGGTTCGCAAGTTTGACACTTTACCTCAACGATCAGTGCATGAAATACTGCCAGGCTGCATTTCCGGCAGCCTGGTTTCAAAATTGTCTGGAAGAGACCCCCCTACCCCTAGTTGAAGCTGGTGTTTTTGCCCCCTTAACCTTGGACTTTCCTCAGCTTTGCCCCTCAATCCCCCGACGGCTGGCGCCGCCACTGAATATTACTTAAAGGAAATTAGTAAACAGTATTATTAAATGGTATCAAATAACACTCTTTAGAAAAAAAAAACATGTTTGCTTCAAGGGTTGAAAATATGTCTGTTTTTTTTTTCAAAATCACTGTAGATGTGTTGGGCAAAACAACGTAAAAAGGTACTGTTGGACAACTGCATAAAGTTATAAACTATCTTCTGATGTATTCATATGTTCGCATTGATTTGTGCTTTTCGAATTAAAAGTTTTAAAATTTAAATATAAACAAACAGGTACGTTTGAAATTAAATTTGTATAATAAGGGTTAAAGGTACAACTTTTGCAAAATGACGCCATTTCTAATGACAAGAATGTTACAGTAATCAACAGTCGCAGTAGGCATCAAGTAGTGTAAATGTCATGAAAATAGAAATGAAATGAAATGAAATGGGGTTTAACATCCTACTGTTCTGCTCCTTTACTGGGCTAATGAAGACGGGCATACGCCATACAGTGTGCTATGAGGGGAATTTTGTCCGAGCAGCGGCACTATCGCCTACTCTTATATCGAATTCAATTTGCCAAGGGATCTTTTATGTGCATTCAAATGTATACACGGGACCTCGGTTTATCGTCACATCCGAAGGACTAGACAGCTGTCCTTATCAGGCCCTCCGTTCTGCACCACTGACAAGGGGAAACCATGTCGGAATATCCAGATGAACTTTCTCGGCCAATGCAGGGATCGAACACCCGACCTCCAGGCTAGCGAGCCAGCGTCTTAACCACCTAGCCACCGTGGCTCCCTCATGAAAATAGAACAATATTTTATTCTTTTGAAAAGTGACTCGCACAAAATTGCCTATTTCTCGTAAATAGCATGTATTCAAAATGATTCATGAATATTTGGTTGATCTTATATATCACCACTGCACTATATAAATGTTTAGAAAATACAAATATTATATAACATTTGCGGGAAAACTGGGTACAAAAATCGATTCCCGAATTGCTCTGCTTATTTACGAGGACTATCCAGATATATATCAGCTAAATTCGGATAAGATGATATTTTGTACCGATGATTATTATAGCTAGTGCCAATGTGTATATTATGCCATTGATACTGTGTCAATCGGATAAGTATTATTTAGTTTATACGCTAAAAACTGTAAGGCCAAAGGGAGATAATTTGCATAAATATATTTTGAATATTTATTTACAGCTGATCAGAACCTGTATACTTTGAAAAACTAATAAAGTGTTTATAAAAATGTCATATCTCTAGACCTTGCTCTCAAAAACTGAGTGGCTTAATGAACAGATTCTGCGAAATAAGCCGGTGAAAACGGAACATAATATTAATCCGACCAATAAACATGAGTGTGAGTTATAAACATACATTTCAAGTTTAAACCAAATTGTGACCTCTACAGTGTTCACATGCTTAAAACGTGATTTTTCGTACAATCAAGGACCATAATCCATGAAGTTATAGTCCGATACATGCCAATATCGAAAGGAACCGAGATCTTAGGGTGATAAACCTATATTTCAAGTTTCATTGAAATCAAATAAAAATTGTGACCTGTAGAGTGTTCACAAACAATTGTGGACGGATGGACGGACGGACGGGGGCAACAACAATATACGTCCACATGAAAATGTGGGCGTATAAAAATCGATCAAAAGAGGTCATGTTTGTGTCATGTGACACAACGGGTGCGAGGTCAAATTCAGCCAGCAGACCAGCTATCACCAAATTTTGCTGAGGCCTTAAAATTGAATTTTTTTTGGATATACGAACCATTGGCAGACGTTTCTGGCGTATCCCCACAAACAGGGTGCAAATGACTTAATAATTAGTAAATTTGCGGGCGACAGTGTCGGGTGATTCCCCATTGCAAGATTCCGAATTCCGGCCCACACCCAGCACACCCGGCCCAGAAAGTCTATTATACCAGCCCATTCCAGACTCCAGTGATGGCGTGGCGGCCCGTTAAAGCCACCGGCCACATACAACATGATCTTCATCGCTCCATGGCTGGTCCAATACCCCCGCCCCCCATATAATGTTCAGCAGAAAAAAGGTTTTTTAGACGCATTGGACAAAATTATTTTTTTCATTTTTTGTCTGACCGGCACTTCGGGCGATCGCCCGATCCACCCCTGTACATCAAGCACTCAATCTCCGCGTGCAACCTTCGATGTCACGCGTGCAGACACTCCTAATCGTCAGGCAGTCGATTAGGGAAACCCGTACATTTTTGTCCTGTATGTGCTCCATGAGTGTTTTTCAGGGAATCCATTATTTTTCTAGTTAGATTGGATATTTCTACTTTCCATATATACCAAAATTGCCATACTTTTATTGGAAATAACCACCCGATAAATACTTTTCTGGAAACGTAGCTTTAAATTAAAAACTGAAGAAATGGCGAGTAATTTTAGAGTCGGGTTATCTCTTGGAACAGACAGTAGTATAAATATTAGTTTTTGTAAATAAGGGCCATGGACTATTAAAAGATTGATGACAACATTGCAAGAGGATATCAAGTCGCATGAGATAATGGAAATACTGAGTACATATAGACCCATGCTGAATGTCTACACATAGCAAGCAATTCTGCATGCACAGCACAATATAAACTTTATGTTTGTATTATGGTCGTTCACCATAATAATATACCTGATATCATCTAAAACACAGATAAAAAAAACTTTAAGATGTCTACTCATAATCTCAGTTTAAAATAAAATATAACATTACATGATCTTATTGGCTTAAAACAATTGACATACAAAGGTAGCCACTAAATCATAGACAACTGATGAAAATTCAGGTCCACTTTTCATACTGTTCTATAATTAATTTGGATTATAGGGTTCATGAATAAACTAACCTCTCTCACCAATTGATTATCATCGCCATATTTAAACATACTGTCTAAATGGAACTCTGTAAACTGGTGTTGGGACAAATACTGTGATAACAAAGTTTCTGAAACATTAAGTTAAAGGAGGCTAAGACAAGTGAAAATTTTAAAATTGGCACACACGGTGTGCCAGAAATATTTTGAGCGAAGCAACTCGATTAACAAGGCTAAACATATCCTACAGGAGAATACTACCGGTGTAGACTGGAGAAACCAGATGCCAAAGACTGCCACTGAATTTGGCACGTATTTCGTCGAACATAACTAATTAGAAATTAATTTATATACATTCATAACACATTATTATGTGTTGAAACCAATTTATGTCCATTTCTTGGTGGCAAAGAATAGCGATTTAGCTCCTTTAAAGTTACAATTAAATATTTTAAAGTTATATTTTTAAAATGTATTAAAATAAAGCCCTATAATAGATGGTATCTATAAACAGTCCTACCTTGTTAAAGAATAATCCTATTAATCCTATAATTCACTATTGCCAGTTGAGAAATTGGCAAAAATATCATTTTCAACTTCAAATTCAAACGTTTGAAGATAGCTATTCCATGGTGGGGAATAGGAAAACAAGGGAAGTAATTGGGAGGTAATTGTGTTATTATTTCCGGTGTGAAGATTTTTAAGTGTGAGAAAGATAACCTATGATTGTATAATACTGAGTTGACAACCTATTGAGCAAAAGACATAGAAATAATTATGTTTTGACTTTCTTAGAAAATATGAAATTGTAACTTTAAAGTACAGTAAATAAAAGGATAATGCCACTTCCACCGACAAGTTTTGACGATATAATTTCTACTTATAAATAAATACAGAAATTACAGATAAAGCATGTATAAAAGTATTGTACCCAGAATTAGTCATTACATAAGGATTTGAAAAGGTAATTTATATGTTGTGATACAATGGATTTCTTTCTCTAAGAAATGATTCATAGTTCTCTACAAAAATACACCTACCATTTTGACGAGGTATTTGCTTTTTCTTCTCTCTTTCTATTTCATCTTTCATCAATGAGAGTAAATATTTCTGTCTGGTATGCAGTGATACAGATAAATACCAGAGATTTTGAGGGATATTCTAACAGAAAAAAAAAATATGCATAAATTCATTATAGAAATCTTTATACATCCAACTCAAACAATAAAATTGATTAACACTCTTCTTAAAGGAGCTAAATCGCTAATATTTGGGATCTAGAAATTGAAACAAGTGGGTCGCAACTCATATAGTAATGTATATGTAATATGAATGTATATAAACTGTTTTATATTCAATCGTTTCCGTTTTTAATGTAATTTCAAATCAGTTAAACATACATCATGCAAGAGCTAAATCTGATTATTCCAAGTCTTTATTTAGGCTTCAGATGTCATAAAAATTATAAATTAGATCTTTATTTACACAACAAGCACAAAATCAACTCTGTAGATCCACGGATGGCTTGGATTTAAACAGGATTTCATTGATTGATTAAATTTTTAAATGGCGTCGTAAATTAAATACTCCCGGAAATTTTAGATCGAGGCTAAATGATAGAGTGTACGAAGCGAGGCCGCTGTAAAGCGAGGCCGCATGTCAGTCAATTTGATTGAAAGTTTGATATATACGGCCTTGATATTATGTTTAGTTGTGGTTAAAATGAGAGTTTGGATGTCGGTTTTATATGCTCTTTTGTCACTTGCGTTTACAGAAAAATATGGAAATTGATAAACATCGCAGCTAACATCACCCCACCCAGTTGAATGGCAACCCCATTGGATCACTGTTTCCTATTTGTCTGCTTCGGGAGTTACGCTGGCCTACCAGTTACAATACAAGAGTACAAGCAGGCTAACAAGAAGTGGGCTATAATTATGCCTCATTGATTTGGTCCATTCCTTTCAAACTTCCGCTTCTTATCTATATATTAAAAGTCTTACTTTTAATTTGTAATAAAAATAAATGTGATACGAATTGAATTGCAACCCCCGTCTCAAACCAAATAGGCTAACGGTACCACAGCCATTGAAAACGTTACTTGATAATCGAGATTATGTAGGTGGAGTTAACGCCTGTCAATCAAATGATGGGCCATTCTCGGAGACGGTGAAGAGAGAGTTGACTCCTATTTCTAGTCAAAAATTACAATGGTGATAACTTTGTTCAGAATAAAGTAATTTGACCAAAATTTTCAATATATTCTTCTTTCATCATCTATTTTTGAACTGTTATAGCAAGAATGGCCAACTCTCTATTAAAATCTCCCATAATGTATCTTTAAGTTCGGCAAAATAAGCCAGAAGTCTCAATCGAATGGCAATCTCTAGGGTCTGGTTATTCCAGTCTACACCGATAGTATTTATTGCGCATGGTCTCCAGATAAGAATATACCGTCACTGTTTGACATGACATGTGGAATATGTCTAGCCTCGTTCGGCAAAATGACATGTGGAATATGTCTAGCCTCGTTCGGCAAAATAAGCCAGAAGTCTCAATCGAATGGCAATCTCTAGGGTCTGGTTATTCCAGTCTACACCGATAGTATTTATTGCGCATGGTCTCCAGATAAGAATATACCGTCACTGTTTGACATGACATGTGGAATATGTCTAGCCTCGTTCCTCGAGTACTAAGTTACAAATGGCACTGAAACACATTATGGTACACGATTCATGTACCAATGGTAAAATGTTTATTTTGTCTTAAATATTGGATATCAGAAGCCCACCTTTTCCTATCACAACATCAATGTTGATTTAGATTGAAAAATAATTTGTGTTTTCAATGTCGAAAACTTTGGATGATATTGAATTAGAGACTTACCTACTTTACCCTGAACACAAAATGCTCATTATCAAAGTTAGCCAATGTATTGCAACTATAGACCAAATTTCATCAATCTCACTGAATTTGAATCCAAGTTATTGTTTCCCAAAGTACTGATAAACCAAACTGCTTAGCCTGAACTCAGCTAATTAAGACATTCGTCAAACAAACATCAACACCAAATTAGAACATCCTACTTCAATTAGAAACAAAGTTGTTGCGTTCTGAATTGTGTGACTTAGACAGACGGACAACCCATTTTAGTAGCGCTGGGTGATATTTAGGTTGAGCTTTTTAAAATAAAAAAAATGTGATATAAATATTAATCTATCATTATCTTTAGTATACTCTTCAAAAAAAGTAGGGGACATTCAGAAACAATACAAAACTGCGGAAATGCAATGCTGTTTTTATTAGAGGTAACTAGTGTATGTTAATAACAGGCCAATTGCACAAGAACATAAACACTTCATATGGGCGGCTTATCTAACGGCCCCATTTCACTCGCAAAGAGATACACTGTCAAAAGTGAAAATGGACGTTTTTGATTTTTGTCTTAATAATTAATAATGAGTAATTGCTCCACCAATCCTCCGACATTCAGCAATTCGTCTTGGCATACTCCTAATCAACCGTCCAATCACGATTTGGGGCAATCTGACCCACTCCTCTTGCAGTGCCACGGCCAATTCTTGCAGTGTTGTCGGTTGACGTTGACGAACACATCCCCCTAAACAGTAAATCTTATGCAAGAACCGATAGGAAAGCAAACATGGATAGAATAAACCAGCAAGCGGCAGTTTTCATCAACCCTTCCTTGAAGTGTCAAATTTGACAATGAACCCTTCCCACGTGTATGGCGCTATTGCGTGTCGCATATGCAGCTCAGTGGTTCTGTTGGGGCGATAAGTTCTTCAGCTGTGAACATACTCTCAAAGCATGTCAAGTGTCCATGACTATTTATCATATCACAACCTGCATAGGTATTTGCATTTCAATATCCCCTACTTTTTTTGAAGAGTATATTTCAACCTAGTCCTCATTCCCCCCCCCCCCCCTAAATAAAAGAAAGAAAATATCTATAGCATTCATATAATTAAACTTAATTTGGTAATAAAACCAATTAACATCCAATATAGAACAATACTGTCATCCAGACAATAATGATTAAATAGTTATACTACTTGTATAGTAGGCCTAGAAGTAGGCCTACTGTTACAACAAATTTATAATTTCACCTACACCCAAATCGTCTAAATCTTCAATGACCAATCCCGATTTCCCAACTTTCTCCATTAATTTTCCTCTCCATTCTCTCCACTGGTCGGGGTGAGACTGGAACCTTTTAAAGAGCAGCAACTCAAAACCATGAAAAATCTCACCCATTTGATTGAGATTTTTATTGTAAAAAGAAATATGTGCGATTTATTTAGTTTCAAAAGAAAGGCTAATAATAAAAATAGTAATTCATATTTAATATCATTAGTAGGCCTATTATCATTATGATAGGCTAATCGTTATGACTTCAAATCATTTTATAACATCTTTTTCCATTACACCAGTGACGGTTATATGTAAGTAAGTACTACATATTTCATTAATAGACTGGATAATGATACATTTACATCAATTAAACTGAAATCAAACGTATTTCGACCAAAATGAAAAAAATATGCAGCCACAGGCGGGTAGACTAATCACCGGAATTCACCGGAATTCATTTACAATCACCGGAATTCACTTCTAAAATCCCGGATTCCTCCCACAAAAATCACTTATTTTAAATGTATAATACATTTTGATCTCTCCGCAGGCCAGAAAAGGGCGCTGTAGGTGAATTTATTTGAAAGACTACCGGAATTCATTTCAAATATATGCATCATGATTATGATAACGTAGGGCGCGTCGTATTACCCAATAGGCCGAACTCCAAAATAACACATAATAACAATTTGCGTCGAATTACCCAATAACTCCAAAATAACAGCCAATAACCCCAAAAATGTTGACTGTGGAACCATAGATAATACCGTATGATTGCCGACTCATGAATTCTCGACGTTATGTTGCGAAACGCGTGAAACGGCGAGAAAGGTGGTTGATCACTTCCGGTCTTCTGTTCTCGCTGTTTGTTTACTATAGGCCCAGTAGCGATATTTTTATTTAGCGCTTTCTTGTAGTATTAAATGTGGCATCATCTGGTTAAATGGTAACGAGAAATAGAAGCAATGTTCGAGGTAAGAATAAAAATGAATATCTTATAATTTTGATATTATATTGTATTATAAATAAGTATTACATTTCATGAAAATCTCGACACGTGTGTTGTCCAGTTAAGGCAAAGTTTGACAGCTTTGACCTACTTTTAAAAATCGGCAAAATAGAGTTTTCAATTCATTAATTTGTAAAATAATACTTGCAGATCATTAATAAATCGTAAATATATAAAATACAGTTTGGTATGAATAATAACATTGCTGTGTTGGCTATATATAAGCTTTTAATTACACAATTTTTTAAAAATCTTTTGTATTTTCAGCAGAACGTACTGGTACCCGTCTTTTGTTTGCTACCTAGGGGCCTAGGGGAGTGCCAGCTTGTGAAGCAAATATATTTCATGTTGATTTATTGTGATACTGATAAATAATTGTATGTTTTATTTATGTTATTTACTTCTTTTCATATTGTGTGTGTGTGTGTGTGTGGGGGGGGGGGGGGTATAAATATTGAGACACTAGACATTAATATATTGATAAAGTATTTTATTTTATGTATCTATTTATTTATATTTTATTTTTTTTTTATTTCATTTTTTTTTTTTGGGGGGGGGGGGGAGGGGGGGATATTATTATTTTCATTATTTTATTTGTTTTATTTTAATACTCAACAAGGGATTTGGTTTAAATTGTTTGATTGTATTATATCATTATTGATTTTAATTTTGTATAGTTGAATTAAGCATAATTATTTAATTTTATGTATTTCAAACATCAGAAAATAAACCATTCAAGCTATGTGTAATGTGTTTGTATGGTTATGTTGATGGTTAAATAGGTTGAGAATTGAAGCCAAATGACCAATTTTCGCGAAAAAGGGATCTGCCAGTTGGTGTTACAGAATTCAGTCAATTTTGCTCCGATATTGATAAGGTTGGTTTTGTTACAATGCTGAGATGTATGGCTTTTCAGGAAATAACACGGTTCTGGAGAAAAATTAATATTCAAAAATAGCTGCCGGTCGATATTTAAGGATATGGGTTTACTGTTCCATGTAATTAAATTAATCATTAAAAATATAACCTACAATTTTTGTTTCAATTAAATAAGTTAATCTTAACAATAATATTAGGCTATTGCATTTTTTGATTTAAATAATTTAATCTTATCAGTTGAGGAAGAAGAGTTGGTATTTCAATCTAATAAGGTGCCTATAAATTATATAATTATTCATCCAATTATGTAACATTAACATTGTCTGATCGCTTTATTTAATAATACATTTATTAATTTATCATAAAAGTATTGTTAATTAAAGATGCGTTTTTAAATGTTAAACAGGCATGATGTAAGAGCTAAATCTGCTTATTGCAGGTCTTTCTTTGGGCCTTAATGTTATGTAAATTATCAATTAGACATTTATTTACATGAAAAGACCATAATCAACTCTCGATGCCATCTGATTGCTCAGATTTTAAATAGATTAGAACGGTATGGTGGTAAATTTTCAATATATTCAATTTGCATTATCTATTTTTGAAATGTTATAGTTAATAACGAGAACGACCAGCTCTTTATCTAAATCTTACATAATTCCCCTTCAAATTTATTTCTATTGTTATTGTTTTATTTTAATTTAGGACACAAAGAAATATATTTTGGTTCTCGCTTGGATGACGTGTTTTAATTATTTTTTTTTTTAAAAAAACCCTAACAAAACAGTCTTGTTAATTACCCCGGTTACACGAAGTAACTCTGTAAAAAAATTTGACTAGATCTATAGGCTAAATTGTCAAGTATGCAAACAAGTTAAATGTTAATGACATGAATGATATTGGATACCGTAATCATATATTCATATAAACAACATGATGAGATAAATGTAGTGCCTTACAATTTTTAAAAACTCATCTGTTACAAACAAGTGATAACTTAGAGCTAAAGACTTTGTGTAGGTATGTTTTGCCAAGCGCTATGAACACAATTTTTGCGGAATTTTGGCGCTATAGAAATGGACGTTCATTATATTTATTTATTTGGTTCTTCTGGAAAAATACATACATCTATTTAAACACCAAAAGTACTTGGCTGTACTGTTCAAAAGCTTATAGTTCCAAATTTTTAAACAAAACATCTTTCACATGATTTAATTAGCTATTTATTTTTATATCGAAGCCCGAAGAACAGGAAATCAAATTGGTGTGGCCAACATTGAAATATCAGATATCAAGGATGAAGTTGCCTTTATCAACTCTTGTAAATCTTTTAATGTACAGGATTCCTGGAAGAATCTATTTTAGAACAAAAATTCCTTTTCATTGATAACTAAAGCAATAATTCCGTTTTTATTTAATACGAATAGTGTTTTCTTTTTCCTTATATATAATTGTTATATCTACTGAAGCTAATTTAATTTCTCAACAAAGCCTAGATCAAAAAGACTATGAAATAATTGCTTACATTGGGGTGGATTTATATAAGTAAACTTTTTTCCAGTTGTGCAAGCTGAAAAAAAAGTATGTGTGTATTTTTTTTTTTTTTTTTTTTTTTTTTTGGGGGGGGGGGGGGCTGCATTTATAAAATTAACTAAATTAAATGACAGAGGGACTTAAAATAAATAAATGGCCATTTTCTAAAATTATTAATTAGGCCTAGATTGGAAAAGAATTTTGTAGGGATATTTACATCTTTATCAACTAAAGTATACAAACAAAGCTGAATTTATTAAAAAAAAATGCACATTTGAATATAAACAAGATTTTTAAAACTGTTCTAATATACCATGCAATTGATAATAAAATGCAACATCTAATTTTATTAATCATACTATTACTAATTACTGTCTATAGATAGGCCTATACCGTAGGCCTGTGTGTGGCACAGAGGTGCGGGTTAGTTAGCTCGCAATATAAACCCTTTTCCTTCTGCAAATTAAATTGTAGAACATTTTTTTTGAAGTATTAGAAAAATAAAAATAAAGGTGTTTGAAGTATTATCTCTATATCAGAAATATTTCCTAATTTTAGTGTAAATTGGTACGGTACATGATTCATGAATGAAGAAAGGCATTTTTTGCCCATTTGTAACCTTTTTTCAACTTAACGTCACACAGTAGCTATTTAATCTTTTGCAATATTCTAAAAATATTTTGGAAGGAGATATCTTGTTCTTTTTTTTCATATAATTTTTATATACGTGTTCATTTTATTAATTTCATAAACGTAAGTTTCAAAAATGTCAATTTCGCGTGTCACTGTGCGTACGTACTATCGAAACTTAGACCGGAAGTAAACAACCCCCCCCCCCTGCGCAAAAAAACATGCGCACGAACCAGAACGCAACATCACGTAAAGGGCTAAAGACGAGTCGGCAATCATACGGTATTATCTATGATGTCACTAACGTTAGTAATAGTAACACTGTCACCGTTCCAACTGTTAAGGCCTAACGATAAAATGCTTATTATACGAACGAAATATTTACTGAAAACTAATAGTATCGATAAAAAAATTACTTACGCACTTTCAGATATTTATTTCGGACATAGTTTGTCAGTTTTGCAGTGGTAGTTTTGATTTTCTATTATTCCAAAACTAAACACTGTCGTACAGATGGCAGCCATATTGGTTTCTTCCCTGAACGGAACTCACAGCGTCTCTACCACGCGATTCTGGCGAATAGGCGGTCTATCTATATTATGACGTCAATGGTCATAGCAAGTGAACGCTAGATCGGAGACGGTCCTGCGCATTTCTTTACCTTGATATAAGCGGCCCGTGCATTCGGAGTTCTTTGTTTGACCGAGTGTTTGGTTTGATTTTCCCCGCGAAATTCAATCAGATCAGACGACCAGTAACCATAAAAGTCGGAGCCTAAAATTCACATCAGATTATCTCAACGCTTCAGATGTATATATGTTCTCGCAGCTAACGAATTTCTAAGTTCTAACACCAGTGGGGGATTGGATGGTCGAATGGTTAGCACGAGCGCGCTGTATCATGAGGTCTGTCATTGAGTCAACTGGCGTGGTTTCAAATTTCCGGTTGTACGTGACCAGGAGTAGGGTCGCCTGTCCAACCTCGTGGGTTTTCTCCGGGTCCTCCGGTTTCCCCCCACTGCTAAATACCCCTACGCGCAAGCGAATTATTGAAATAAAATTAAACCATATGTTAGTCCTAGTTTGTGTCGAGTGGACGTTAAACACCATTTCTCTCTCTCTAACACCAGTGCAAAGCGTCTGCCATGCCAAGCCTACTCTATAGGCCTGTTATAATTTAGCCTATAGGATAGGCCTGGTGGCTAGCCTAATAATAACCGCATTTTTAAGTCATCGCTGCAAACACCAATGTAGAGCGTCTCCTATAGGTTATTGCCTCCTTATAATAACCGATTTTTAATTCATCGTCGAAAAAATGGCGAAAATTTAACCGGTCCTTGGTCAATGGTATACATTGGTATTGGTAGCCTGCCTAATGAGTTTGATGTGGTCTCCTCCCTTAATTTATTCTAATTCTAT